GTACCGGCACCGGGGAGGCAGCGGGGCAGCCGCCGGTTCCCCGAGCAAATTTCTCCCGGAGCAAATTCTCCCCACCCGCCTTGCATCCCCTCCGCCTTAACCGGCCGCGCTGAACTCCCGCTGCGGAGAAAGAAGACTTTTCCCCGGAGAAAGGGTCTCTTTTCCCCGGCTCTCCCCCACACCCACGGTATTTCCTCCGTGTTTTTCCCGGTCCCGTTAGCCGGGCGCGGTGGGTTTAGCAGTTTTGGGAGAAGGCGGAGACGCACCTACGGGCGCTGCAGTCGCTCTGCGAACCCCCGATCTGGCTATTATTAGCGGGTCTCTCCCCTCCATCGTTAACCATTATTATTATTATTATTGCTATTAATTATCCTCACGGATCCACGCGTGTCTTATTACAGCCTCCCCGTCCCTACCCACAGCACAAGGGGCTCGCAACGAGCCCGGGCCCTCCGACACGGGGCTCCCACTCGAGTCAAGCCCGGAGCCCCGCTTGAAAAAATCAATCCGAGGGGACCCCGGCGGTGTTTGATGGAAGGTGATAAACTCGCGTGGGTCTACCAGGGGAGGGGGTTGTAACGTGTCATCACACGCTAAGCCGGCGCCCTGGGCTTTACAACCTAAAAAACACAAGAGAGCCGGGTGAGCGGGGAGAGGGTGGCAGGGCGGCCGGGAAGGCACCGGGGGCTCCCCCGCGCTCCCACTTCGCCCGTGGGCTCCGGCTTGGCCCCAGCAGGCCTCCGCGGGTGCGGAGCGGGCCTTGGTGCCAGCGTGGGGTTGTCCGTCCGTGGGGAAGGGGAAGAAAGAGAGGGAGAAAACCCCAGCCTAAGCCCGGGCCAGAACGAGAAAGAAAGCAGCTTCCCCCCCCACGCCACTCCGCGGTCCGGCGGGGAAATACCCGGGGTGCGGGGGGGACACACGGGATCGACCCCTGCCCAGCCGGGTTCTGCCTGCGGTTCCCGGGCACGGCTACCCGGCGTGGACTTAATGCCCTTTTCCCGGGAAGGGAGTCACCTGGGGATGGGGGGCGGGGGGAAGCGGGTCCGTGGAGCGGGATGCGGGGACAGGGAGGGATGCGGGGACACCTTGGCTGGAGACAGGGACTGATGGACGGCGCTTGAACGCGGCCCAGCGCGCAGGGGGAAGGGGCTTCTGCCCCCTTTTAGGTCTAGAAGATGGGGGGAAAGGGAAAGTAAAGAGGGCAAAGAGCCCCCAAAATGATGGCCAGAGCCTAAGAGGTGGGATGGCCGGCTTGACCCGAGCCTCTCCCGGCTTCCCAGCTTCCCCAGTCCGCAGTCACCGCCCGTCTTTAGGGGCTCCCCGGAGACCCCGGCACGGCCCTGTCGTTGTCCCTGCCCGGCGGGGTCACTCACGGGTGGACCGGCGCATCGAGTACGGGGACACGGCGGCCCCCCCACGCCAGCCGGGGACGCGCTGAATCCAGGCCGGGGCAGCCCCAATTTGCCCGCCCCGAGATCACCGGGAGGGAGAGGAAGAGATTGCATTTCCACCTTCTCCAGAAAAAAAAAAAAAAAAAAAAAAAATTATGGCTGTTTCATTTGTCTGGTTGCTGGCTTTTTGGTGGTGGTGGTGGTGGTGGTTTTGGTGGGGGTTTTTTTCGGGGCGGGGGGTGTTGTTGGGATTTTTTTTTTTTTCTTTCTTTTCCCTAAATGGCCTCGATATAGCGGAAACCTCCCGAAGAAGCTTTTTAAAGCCACGCTCGGAAACGACCTGAGAAGCGACCCCGTTCCAGGCTGTCCCTGACGAGCGCCAGCGCAAGGGAGTGTCTTAATTGCCGCTAATGACCCGCGGAGAGGATGCGAGTGGGTTATCTGCAGCCGGGCAGAAATCAATTAGGGAGCGGCAATTAGGGGAGAAAGTGAGAGACAGGAAAATGGGAGAAACCGTTACAGCGGAAAGCGAAGATTTCGGTGAAATTTTCCAGAAATTCTCCCTCTGGAAGAGGGTTCCCGTAGAGAATATTTTGCGCAGCCCGGCGGTCCGCTCGCTCTTTCTCTTTCTGTTTCTCTCCCCGTTTATTGCGGATTTCCCTGCATCGCTCAAGAACTGACGCTGCCCGGGAGCGCATCGGCCCCGCTCAGAAATTACGATTAAAATCACTGCAAAGCGGGACGGGACGGGGGGGAAACGCGGCTTCCCGCGGGCATCGCGGGCTCCAGCCCCGGGTGGGAATAAAGATATTGGGGGGGTGGAAAGGGCACAGTGCCCCCCCCCCCTCCGGCCCCGCCACCGCTGCGGGATGGGGCTGCGCTCCCCGGGCAAGGTCTCCTTGACCCCGGGAGGACTTGTCCGGCCAAGCAACCCCCCCCACACACACACAACCTCCCCACCCCCCCTCTCCCGCCCCCGGGAGGCCCTTTCCAGCCCCGGGCGTCTCTCTCCGGTTTCTCCCCCCGGTGCTTTCCTCCCCCCCCCCGCCGGACGCCAAGGACTCACCGTAACAAGAGACCTGCAGAGCTCCGTTGTGACCGCTGCTCTCTTGCAGCTTGAGGTTGCTCTCCGGGGGGGTTTTGCAGGGACCTCGCTGCATGTAGAGGTGCGGTGGTTGTTGTTGTTGTTGCTGCTGCTGCTGCGGAGGGGATTTGTTAAAGGAGGCCGGAGCCCCGGCAGAGCCGGGAGCCTGCACGCTGCCATCCAGGGACTGGCATTCCTGCTGGCTGTAGCGGCTCCGGCACTTAGTGCTGCTGTCACCAAAGCCTTGTCCTTTGCTGGCCAGGAAAGTAGGGCTGAACTTGTCACTTGCTTGAAATGCCCTAAAAGGCGAGGAGCCTTCTGTGCCCTGGGAGGCTGCGTTGTAGTAGGAATCCATGGCAGCCGGATCACAATAAGAAACACAAGTATCAGCATTCATTCCTAAAATTAAAAGGCCCGAGTGTCCTTAATGCGCTTGGAGGGGCACCAGGAACCTCTCTTTCTCTCTCCCTTTCGCATACACACACACACACACACACACACAGCTGGGCCAGGGAGCTCTAAGAGGATTCAGATGTTCTTGAAAGCTAACCAGATCTCCAAACCCCCTTAAGATCTCGCACAGTAAAAGGGGTCTTTTTCTTTCCCTCCCTCCCTCTCTCTCTCTCTCGCACACACACACTTGCCCTCCGTCTCTCCCTCCAAACTATCTACACTCTAAAGAAGCTCTTCTCCGCACTTCCCCCCCCCACGCATAGGGGAAACGAAAAAAAAAAAAAAAAGAAAAAAAGAGAGGGAGAGAGACCTCTCCCCCAATTAATATGTAGATGATGACAGTGGAGGGGAGGGGGCCCAGGAAGGGGTGTGTGTGTCTGTGTCCGGGGGTGTGTGGCAGCAGAGGGGGGTGGAGGTCATATCTTTTGCCTTAAAAAACACAACCCCGAAAGTTGGGGTTTTTGTCTTTTTTTTATGATTAAAAAACCAGAAAAGCAAACGGCTGACACGAATGCCACGAAGGGATGGACGTGGGATCCGCGCAAGGCGGAAGCACCGGGGACCGATTTCACGGTCGTGACACGCTCGGTTCGCTCCGGCCCTCCCCGCCGCTCGCTGCCCCCCCCGGCTGCGGGGACCCCCGCCTCCGCGGCCCCCTCCTCCGGATTCAAGGCAATACGGATTTTCCCCGCAGCTATATGCCTTTAAGCTCCCCCCCCAACCCCCCAAATTAACCCCTTCACGGCCGGCAGCTCTCCCAGCGCTGCCGTGAGCCGTTTGCCTCCCCCGGTACGGCGGTCGCCCAGCACCACATCGGCAGGGAAGTTCTCGTTATTTATTTACCTCTAAAACCCGTGCTCTCTCCAGGTGTAAAACAACTGGATCGAGAGCGGGAGGGCAGCGGGGAGGGGTTTTAACAGGGTCGCCGAGCACACAAAATTGGCCCCGGTTTCTGGGACTGCCAGAGGTGAACTTGGAAAGGGACAGAGGCTGGCAGGAGACCTTTTTGGTTCGAGGGGTCAATTGCAACCCAAAAAGGGCTCAAAAATAAATCAATACTCACCTTCCGTCGTCCCCCCCCTCCCGCCATTCAACCTGATTCCCCTCCTCCCCCGGTTAACTCCTGCTACCCCTTACACTTACTCTTACCCTGCCTTCCTCCCATCCCCACATCTGGTTTCTATTGCTCGCTTACCTTGAAGTTTTCAGTAATAAAGATATTACGCAAACTACATCCACAGTTCTTCAGTAAAAAAAAAAAAAAAAAAGAAAAGAAAAAAGAAAGAAGGAAAGAAAAGGGGAAAAAAAGGAGAAAAAAAGAAAGGAAAGGGAAGAAAAGAAGGCCCTTAACCCCTTCGGGAGTGCGGGCCGCGGCGGAGCCGGTTGCGGGCGGGGAGCGGGGGCACCGGCGGCAGTTCTGGCTCCCAGCGGGCTCCCCCCGGGGTCCGGCCCATGTGTCCTCCCTTCTCCCCCCGGCTTCCTCCCCCCCCCAACAT